GATCTACTAATTCTAAATTTAATAAACTGATTAGATAGGCTAATTCTAAAGTTCATATGGACCATCAAAAAAGCAAGAATGGGAAAAGTATGTGAAGGAACATTGAGAAGGGAACATTACCAGCTATCAGAACACTCAAAAAGCTATAGAACCTTTTTATTTTTGTATATTCTTTTTTTCTTTGCTCAGCTTTATTGTAGACTGACCTACAGTAGATCACATATATTATTCACAAAGGTGCAGTTTGACAAATTTTTTCTTTGTTTGTTTTGTTTTTTGAGACAAAGTCTCACTATGTTGCCCTCAGTAGAATGCTGTGACGTCACAGCTCACAGCAACTTCAAACTCTAGGGCTCAAGTGATTCTTTTGCCTCAGCCTCCCAAGGAGCTGGACTATAGGCGCCCTCCACAATGCCCGGCTATTTTTGTTGTTGTTGTAGTTGTTAAGCTAGCCCAGGCCGGGTTCAAACCTGCCACCCTTGGTATATGTGGCTGGTGCTATAACCACTGGGCTACAGGCACCGAGCCAGTTTGACAGATGTTGACACAGATGTTGACAGATGTCGACACATATCACCACCCCAGAGTGTCCTTTGCGGTTCTGGTGTTTCCCCTGGCGCCCCAGGCACCCACTGGCCTGCTTCCTGCCTCTTTAAAGGCTATAGAAAGAGGGAGGGGAACATACTAGAAAGTCCAGAAATAGACCCAGTCCTTAACAGGAGTGTGTTCTATGATAAAAGGTCACATTTTAAGTCAGTGGGGGAAGAGATGAATTATTCAGTAAAAAGTGCTGGCAATTGACAGACATCTGGAGAAAAAGAAAACAAAGTTGGATAAATGCTTCTCAACCAAATCCAAGGCAGATCAAAGATTTAAATATGAAAGGAGGCAAAACCACACCCTGACTAGAAGAAGCCCAAGGGCGCTGCTCCTAGGTGCAGACTGGGGCTTTCCCTGAACAGATTTTTCTAAGTTTGTTTTCAAACCCAGAATTTATGGGGACAGAAATTTAAGGATTGCTAAATCTTTTTTTTTTTTTTAGAGACATAGTCTCACTCTATTGCCCTCGGTAGAGTGCTGTGGTGTCACAGCTCACAGCAACCTCCAGCTCTTGGGCTTAGGAGAGTCTCTTTCCTCAGCCTCCCAAGTAGCTGGGACTACAGGCGCCCCACAACGCCTGGCTATTTTTTGTGGCAGTTTGGCCGGGGCCAGGTTTGAACCCGCCGCCCTCGGTATATGGGGCTGGTGCCCTATTCACTGAGCACAGGTGCTGCCCCAGGATTGCTAAATCTAATTAGGAAAATTTCTACATGCTATGAAGTAATCATAAACTTGAAAAACTACATAAAAAATTGAAATATCAGAGATAAAAAGTTAATGTCTTTAATATAAAAATATTTCTGCAAATCAATAAGAAAGTGACCTACCATTCAATAGAAGAAGCATCATAGGAACTCACAGAACATTTAATGTAAGAGGTTCCTACCTATGTGAGATGTTCAAACTTACTCAAAATAAGAGAGGTAAAAATTAAAATTATAACCAAAGAGTACTTGCTAGCTATCACACTTACGAAGTCTGTGTAGAGGGTGGAGAGAAACAGATACCCGTGAGGACTGCTGGTCCCGTGTACGTTGGGACAGCCAGGGGGAAGGCACTTTGGCGATGGTCTGCCGGGCCACTGTGCATGTACCCTGCCCCTGCAGGCTCCTGTCTCGAGACAGCTCAGAGCTTACCTTTACCGGTGTGAGCTGGTGTCTGCACAGCCGTCTGTAATAGCAGACGGGAGTGTACATCTAGACAGGCCTGCTTGAGTCGTTTGAGAATTTTGCTTTTGCACAGTCATCCGTTTTGTTTGCTGCACAGCTCCATCGTAGGACCGACCTCTAGCAGATGGTTCAGACTGACGATTGGGCCACAGCACAGACAGGTCTCCAGGTAGCTGTGTGTCAGGAATTTGAGACCAGCAGTGCAGGGCACAGGGGGCAGGGGCCACACTGGGGATTCCAAGCAAAGGGCACTAACACACACATAAGCTTGTTCTCGTGCAGGGGACAACTGGTCACAGTATTTTCTGTCTGTGACGAAGGAAGCTACGTCT